TGATGCAATCGGACCCCGGAGTCTCGTCGACATTGAAACCAACACAGCTTGCGTTCAGTAAAAGCCAGCTTTGCCACGAGTTTATTTTGTATTTTCGAATGACGATTATTATTGTATGGAAGATTATGGTTTCTTTGTGACAAGTTCTTATTGTCTTTCCTTGTTTTCTTTTTCTTTTATCTATGTCACGAACTGGAATTATGCCTAAAGAATGATCTTAATGACTTTTATAGTACACACGTTTCCTTGTTCTTATTTAACTTCTTATTGCCTTTATTATAATTATTATATTTGTCAACTTCTTTGTGTCTACAGATTATATATATTCGATTGTGATGTTTCAACGAAGTTCTTAATACGGTTACAATAGAGCCATTATACGTGCTATTTTAATTCTGGTAATTAAGTCAAGAATAATAATGAAATTAAAAATATAAAAATTACGAGACTTGAAATTGTTATTTTTATGAAATGTTATTTTTTAAATTAAAAAAAAAAAAACTATTATTTAAGTACAAATATAAATACATAGTAAAATTCGAAGTAACCGGTTTTTCTTAATATATTTGGTATCTTAATATAACACAAATTGCTAACGATAAATAAAAATCCTTAAGGCTTTTAATTCAGGTTCGAAAATGTTCAATCGACAAGCAAGAATTATATTATAGAAGTGTTAATTGGTGGAAGAACTCGTTATATAATTTACCATGGACTATTAATGGCGAGAAACAATAGTATTCGTAACTTTCTCTTTTGTGTGCGATGAGAATCGGCCGGATATTGGTCATGTATTACATATAGAGATATTTATGCATTTATGTGATACTGTTGGATTAGAAACAAATTTTATTGCAAATTTTATTTAAATAAAAATTTATTTAAATAAAGAATTTCGCAGAATAAATGAACTTAAATTTTCGTATTCTAAATTCTCTATTTCAAAGAGAAGACGTATATGAGGCTCTAGTGACTAATTGGTAAATGACTATATTGTCATCGAATAATACTAGGAGAATCTCTTCAGAAAAATTTTGATAACATTTTGAGTTAACATTTTCTAATAATAGCTTAGTATTGAAACTTCGAAAAGAATATTTTTCGAGACAGAATTCTAGAAAGTGATTCGCTACACATGTCACCATGGCGAATTCCAAGAAATAATAAACGTATTACTGAACTGGATAATTGCAGTATCATGTTTCGTTGCTTCGATGAATTTATCTCCGTAGCGATATACATGGTGTCCATTATGAGTGGATCATATCTCGATTCGTGGATATTATTTATCAGATATCGATTTTCATACATTTTTTCATAGCATCTTTATCCATCGCTTCTTCGATAAATAAAAAAATTGTATTATATTATTAATTCAATATTACATCGATCTCAATTATCCATTGATTTTATTTAAAAATATATATTGAAGAATTTTGACAAGAAAGATAAAATTACAAAATATTTACTTTAATGCAACAAAAAAATAAGGTTAGGTTAACGGCTTATTCAAGAATCGTTGGCTTTCCAACTTGCGATGTAGTACGGTAGAGGGCGTAATATGGTTGTTTTAATTAATCTAACCTAATTTATATTTTTCGTTTTTGCAATTTTTCATAATAGTGATTTGCTTCAAAGATTTTCTAATGAATATAGTTGGTTTTCATTGGATTAATCCTCGAATATTCTTTATAATCCTATTAATCTTTGATAACCTTATTATTTCTTCCCACTAAGCGAAAGATTCTATTCGATAAACGAGCACAACTTCCGTCTTGGTAATTTCCTTCCAAGCCATTTCTTCGATTTAACGAAGAAAGTTGTTTACTGACTATTCTACTTTACTGACTATTCTACTTTACTTTACTTATACTTACTTATACTTCTTATGATCGACTCATATCATTGATTCGCATCATTGACTCGCATGAATTCTAATTTTTTACGTAATATTTCGAGCAGAATTGCGTGCAAGGAATGCATTGTTGCGCTTTTTACATGAAAGGCTTTACCCGATTTCTGTTGATGCAACCAACGAATGCACACGATTCTCATAAATCAATCTGTTTTTAGTCATCTTATCATTAACCGGACTTATTCTTGCCTTTTTTTTATGATATTAGGAGGCTTTAGAATAAGAAACTTGGAACAAAGTTAAATGATAATGATATTTTAGTATCATATTTGAATGTATTAGTTATTAATAATTTTATTCTCTCTGTTGCAGGTAAGTGAAAATCTTGTCAGGTGGCTGAAGTAATCCATTTTCATTTTGGGATTTAAAAGAAAAGATTGTAAGTTAGAATTTGATAAAACTGAAAACATTATTAAAAGAAAAAAAATTTGATTTTTATTGAATCTATTCATTTATGATCATTCAAATAGATCATAAAAAGTAATTTTAATTATAATGTATTATCACATGAAAAAAGTTTATAATTTGATAAAGAGTGATGAAGATTTCTCTGTATTAACAATTTGAGCGGTTTTTTTATTATAAAGAATTTCTTATTATACTATCATTATGTAACTTTAAATTGGAGAACGAAAGTTGTGGGAGTGGAGAAGTGCGATATAGATTAACATTACGAGCCAGTCGAGTCCACTTTCTCGCATTAAGAACCAAGCTTACAAACACGCACATAGTGGCTATTAATTAAGTCCAAATTTATTTCAAATTAATAATTATAGAGTAACTATTACTCTTCATGCTTATAATAATTTTTGAAATTCAATATTTATTATTCAACTTCTATTAATCTTAAAAATAGATGGAAGGAATCTTCACTTTAGTTTTCAAGGTAAACCTGTTTGCTATAAATATTACAGAACATGATTGATTCTTCTAATAGTTATAGTAATTTATACTTGGATATAATTGATGTCTTTATAAAAAAGAAATAATTAAAATCTATAATTAAAATCTTCAACTATGTTTCAGAAACGCATTTAATAATTCAGAATTAAAAAGCTAATATAGCTAGACTATGAAAATTAGTAGATTTATACTAATTCAATACTTGTTGCTGTCTGATTAAACTTAAATGATGTTTGAAATCTTGATGATTTTCAAAATACATGTAAAATAATCAATTTATTGATGAAGAAACTAATTCATAAAATCATAATGATGATTTCTAGTTTGCTAAATTATTAATGGTAATGTTACCTTCACTTGAATTGACTAATGAATGTTGCAAAAGAAGAGTGGCTGAAGAAACTATTTCTTTTTTACTTAGTCCAAAGTAAAAGTAAAAATTGCTTACTGACAAGCAAAGACTTCAAACGTTGAAAAAAAAATGAGGAAAAAGATTTTTATTTCCTCAAAGAAGTGTTACAAATGGAATGTTTGCATAATTCTTGGCATAGGACTAAATCAGGAAAAATTCATATTATGAAAAGAGGAAATCCTTGTCTAAACAACTTGTATAAGCACATGCATTAATTTCATTAGGAAATATGTTGAACTATTTTTAATTATAATTTATAAATTAATTCTAATTTTATAATTGAAATAATTCTCAAAAAAATAATTAAAGATAATATATATAATTGAAGATAAATTATATTTGGATTTAATATTTGTTAAGTGCATATAAGAAATTTTTTTTTAATGATGAAGATATAAACATAATTTTCTTAATTGAAGGGAATTTTAGTGAACATTTTTTATAATAATTAATATTTTTTTAAATAATTTGCATGATGATAATATCGACATTTTTAAAATAATAAACTTATCATGGCAAAATTTAAAATCAATTATCAATTATGATCAATTATCTGACTATTCAAATATTTTCTATTCATCCAATGTAATAATTATTAAGAAAATCAGAAAATTGACTTTATTAATATTTTTGTCTTCCATTTAAATGCAATCAGGTAATATCTAATTCCAATATTTATTCAATCTACTGAGCTTTATTCTTCTAGTTAGTGTATTTGGCTATCCAATTTCATATCATTAATTATTAAGAAACCTGTCTTTGAAAATGATAATAATAGAGATATATTGGAAAGAAAACAAAAATAAATTTTAGAAATATTTATAATATTCTCATCTCTATAATATGATCATCTCTTAGTTTGTTTTTTTTTCTTTTTATTTTATTTATTTATTTTTTCTTATTATTTTTTTCTTTTCTTTAAACATTTCTAATCACTGATCCTTGATTAATCTTTCAGATCTCTTCTAATTTTAAAATTCTATTTTAAAATTTTTTTTTATGTTTTCTTTAATTTCATTTTAATGATTTATAGTCTACTATTAAGGATTACATTTTATTTATTTTTTAATTCTACTTTCAAGTTTCTCTTTTACTTCTCTTTTTCATTTTCAAATTCTTTTATGTTTTTCTTCATTTATTCTGAATTCTTTTATTGTTTTTTATTATTATATAAATATTTTTTACTATTCTTTTTTTTATATAATATATTTCAAGTTTTTAAAAATATTTATTTTAAATTTTTGAATTCTTGAATCTTTGATAATTCTTCTAATGCTTATGGCAATAGTTCTTTAATCTTGACGATTTCATTGCTCTTCTATTATGCATCAGATGGGCTCATAATCATTTCTAATAAGTAAGTGTACATGTAATGCGCACGCATGATGCGACAAGCAGCCTCTGGAGAAGCTCTCTCCAGAGGAGGTCGCGAGCAAGGCCACTTGGGGCGTTGCCCTCATGAGTTCGATCTCGAGCTTAAATGTGGCTGGTTATCCGCATATCAATGACTGGTTCAGAATCGATCTACTGGGTGTCTTGATTTCATCTTCTGTTTAACTTTTATCTTTTCGTATCAATATCAAATAATTTTTTTTAAATAATCTTCATTTTCTTAATTAATGCAAGCTTGATCTTTTTTGATAACGTTAATTGAATGACGAAAATTAAATCTTCTAAAATAAGTTTTTATGATTTAATTTATGATTTAATCATTGTCAACTGAGAGTTAATTGAAAAATGTTAGAGTTACATTTTTATCATGAAATTCAATTAGAATTCAATCCATGCAAACTCATTGGTTATTTCAATGAGTATAGCGATCATAATCTGAAGGTCAAGAGCAACGCATTGAGAATAATGATTCGTCTGAGATTAAAATGTATGCTAATAAATCGCGTAGGTGTCATTGTTTGAAGAGTAAGAAATATGTAGATGTCAATTGTTCTTATGCTGTTTACAAGCTTGTTACATGAATCCAATGATTCAAATATGTGTATTTTACTTATAAATAATTTTATGGAAGATGAAAATATCATGAAAATATCATTCATATGGAAAATGTAAATATTGTCAAATGAAAACATATTTATTAATAAGATATGAAAATAGACACATTTTGAAATTTATAAAACAAAAATTTAAATCAATATTGAGATTGACGATGAAAAACTTAATTAATTCTCAGTTATCTAGTCTTATGACTACTTAGTAGTTCTGGAAGAACTTTGAGAAACATATCTGTACAATGTATTCGAGTTCCCAGAGAAACATTCTGTGACGATCAAGTTACTCATGGAAGTTATGTAAGTGCATTATCATCTTCTTAAAACAATACCTGCCATTTCCTGCTTCACAAAAGCTTAATAAATTAAGAACATAAAAGAAATAAATAGTTTTTACCTGTTAAAATAGCATTTCAGTATTACTTATAAAAAAGATCATATTAAAGATTGTGGATGTAACAAAAATAATTTTTTGTCAATATTTGTTCCCATCAAAAGTATGCAACAAAACTGTGTATAATAAAGAATATTTAGAGTACAATAGCCAAAATAAAACAAAAATAAATTCTTATTTTCAGTATGATATCCATATATGCATACATTGTGATTGACTTTTTTATAATATTGCAACATTATAATATTTATATGCAATATTTTGCAACAATATTATGTCATGCTGCAAATTGGATTTAAATGTGGTAATTTGTGCAATTTTTATATAATTTTTTTTTCATTAGTTACATCAGGTGCAAATATGTTTCTTCAAATATATGGAGAAAGGAATACCAACTATTTATAGAGCTGAAAGATTATATGTGATATAAATGGCGTTTAAAATTGCAAATCCGATTCTCAGTGTAGCTACAATTTCATATTCAATTGTAACAGTGAGAAAAACGAACGCTTGAAACGTTATTATTGATTCACCGACTGCCGGGAGTTATATAAATCTATGGCGTATTTTATTTTCTATAAAGCATTTTCTGTTACTTTCATTTAAAGAAACCAAGCAGAACACGTTACATGTAAGAAATGAATGTGGATTTATTTTTTACGGATGGACTGGTCAAGATATGTGCCAATGTGAATAATTTACAAATTGAAAAAACTAATACAATTCACCAGGGAATCTATTGCCAAGAAAATCCACGAATTTAAATAAATTTACATTAATTGGAAAATAAAGAAATTATAACTAATCTATATCTGTAATATTTTAATAAAAGTTTGAGAATCTGCTAGATATTATTTTAAAAAATTAATGTGAAATTAATACAATTATAATATCATAAATCTGAATTTCTTAATAGAAATATATGTCTTATTATAACTATATGTCATAAAAGCAAACATATTAATTACGAAAATATTAACTTAATAGAGGAAAAAAGTTCATAAAAAAAAAGTGTGAAAGAATTGTAAAGTGCGATTGATCGCATTATATGGATTGATCCTAATACTATTATTAGATTAAATATTATAATTTCACAAAATTGTCTCCTTAATTGTCACAAAACAACAATTACGTTAGTTGATATGGTTCAATAAATAGTTTTACGAATGCTTATATTTCATGCAGCGATGGCAACCTGTTTCTTTTCTACAAGAAAGTTTTTTCAATGTTCAGTGAACCAGATCGCATCATATATTATTTGAAATAGTATTGGTCATTTTAACGCTAAAAAATATTATCTTTAATGAAAAAACAGTGTAATCTTTTAAAATAATATTTAAGAATTGATTCCTGATTATTAATGGTTTAAGAAGTCTTTGTCTTACCATAAATTTCTATTCAAAAGTGATAATCATTGGAAGACATTTGGAAAAAGGAAATTGAATTTAATTATGGCATCGAATGTTCTTCAGAATGTATAATATTGGTAGTTATTAACACTGAAAAGTATTACCTTGTGAGTACCACCATTACAATTACTCGAAGGCAATATATGAGAGAATAAAAAGAATCGAGTGCATTGGCAAAGTGCAATCGCGTCTTCTTTGGTATTACGCGTATTGCATAATCGTATGTTATGTAATTTGCTCATAAACGGAGGAAAGAACGAAAAGGAAAAAGGCGAACAAGAGAGAGATCGATCAAGAAAGGTCTTTGAGAAATCTCTAATAACAATTTTTTCTTCGCTAATTACAATTAACAAATAGATATTTAATTCATGTGTCAAATATTTATTTATTTTTGTGTGCATATATTTAGAATTAAAAATATGGATTAAATATCATCAAAACGATTATTTAAAAAAACGAAGTAGAAAATAATCAGTTACAAATGAAAAATGTTATAGTAATTTCTTTGTATAATAATCATTAAAAGATATGTAATATCACAAAATATGCGTATCATATGTTTATATATAATAATACAAATATATGTATAATTAATATATAATGTTTTATATATAATATATATAAGATTGAAGCTTGATTACTATATTATTGTATATATTGTATATATTGTATACTATATTATTGTATACATTGATTACATAACGCAAAAGAGAAGAGTATAAAAGAATTAATTCATTCTCCTTCATCTTTTGTGACTCACCTAAATGATTTGTACGTGTTTGGCATATTTATACTCCAATTATAAGTTATGTAGATCAAAATATAATAATTAAAGATGTATTTGTCAATTTTATTATTGAATCAACTGTCTTTGAAAATGTTCACATAATACATAATTAATATTAATCTAATATTGATATTAAATACGTATCTATAATGAAAATGTATACATAAAAACTTATGAAACAATATGAAATTATCAATCTTATTTTAATAGAATTTTAACAAAACTGATTTAATTATTATTATATCATTTAATTCTGAATAAAGATTCATTAATAATCTCATAAAAACAAATAATAAAAATTAGTTTCAAATTATACGATATGACACTAGATAATAATACTAGATAACTAGATAATAATACTAGATAACTTTAAATTAGAAATAACCCTAGAGATCCTAGGGAGAAAATAATTTCAATTTCTATAAAAATCGTAGATTGACATATTTAACTCAATAATATAATTCATAAAGAATATATTATTCCTTTCAAAATTACAAATTAAAAATTCATATATTATTACATATCAATTAATTATAAAAAAAATTAATTATAGCAAGCTAATTTTAGCTGAACAAATAATTGATCTAATTTTAATTTTTAATAGTGAGC